ATTAAAATCGATTAGAAAATATATTTAAATATTTAATCCAACGCTTGGCGTGGGTCAAATTCTAGTTATTATTATTTAGCATAATAAAGAAAGATTAGCGACAACAGAAATTAAAACCTAGTATCCCAATAAGACTAGTACGTGTACTTACATCTGAATTATATATTCCAACATTATTATTTTAGCATAATAAAGATTAATTAAAGACAATATATATAACTGATCCCAATAAGTCTAGTTGAGAGACTGAACAACCAATCAGTTTCTGATGCACCAACTCTTGTTCCTTATATAAGCAAAGGACTATCTATATGATCCAACGAGGTTTGAAAAACATGATCCTCCCCATCCACTCCTTCAATCGTATATCTTGTGAGTTTGTCCGTGGCCGGATCGTAATACAACACAGACAATGAGCTCATACGTTTATCGTCTGATGCGAAAATAAGTTCTCCGGTTCTAATGATACCTCTGAAATAAAACTTCACATTTCTAACAGTTTCTTTCCAACCAAGAATCTTAATGCAGTTTCTCCACCATTTCCTTTCTGTTTCATTCATAACCCACATTTCAAGGACTAGGTCTGCATTTTCATTCAAATTAGATTCAAAGTCATGGTTATCCACTAAGGCAATTTTTCCATCGTAATTCACCAAGTTGCAACGAGGATGAATGTAACTTCCTCAGGTAATACAATGGTGGTAAACTCTTCAGAACTCACATTGAAGCTCATTACTATAGATTTGCCACTATTGGACAGAGCTCCATAGTATAAAACTCCTCTTTTACATAGTCCTTGTGTAACTGGAGAATGATTATATTTACAACCGATCGGTCTCCAAGAATTTTGACCCGATCCCACGGTCAAAACTTGATGTTCCTTAGCTTCTACTGATGGATCAAACTCTTTCTTTTTCATGCATAAAACCTTCAATACATCTGAACCTTCATCGTATCCGAAAAAGCTTTTTATGGCCGCTCTTTTACCCGCTTGGATCTCTGGTAAAGCCGCAAACTTTTTCGTACCGGCCGGATTGAAAATCGTAACCTTACTTTTTTCTTGAAGACAAACCAAACCTCTGATGGGACTAGAAATCTGACATCCTGGTTGTTGACCAGACGACAATAATGGTTCCTCCTCTTGATAAACAGAGTGAAACAAGACATTAGGTTCGCCCAGTTCATAGCCGATGAACAACAATCGAGGCATTTTCATCGATCGGACCAAGTAATTATCTCTGAATAGTTTGGAGCGGATTATAGATGCCAATTCCTTTGAAACGCAGGTGCATTTCACCAAGGATTTCAGAGGCATCTGTAACACAATCTCTATTATCATATCTTGAGCAAGTGATGCGCTTGTTTTCTCCATTTTTCTTTCTTCTCTAATGATATTATGTGTTTTGTGTTTGAAACAACAACACAAATTTGATATTTATAGAGAAATCTCAGAGTTTGTTAGCAACATTGTGAGTGAGTGACTTTAGTTTAACTTGTGGAGTCGTATAACGCGTATAAATTTAATTTAATTCAGTTTCATGCTTACAACTTTGGTTCCACACGTAAAAGACTTACTAAAATTGTTGGCCAATCAGCATAGAGATTTTTTTATACCAAGTATGAGATTAGTAGTTTACTACTTCAAATGCACACGTCAAAATATAGATTACGCGTTCATTTTTTCAAAAAGTAATAACTTTAATCATTTGCACACAATTGTTGATTGTGAGGTTTTTCAATATAACAATTCATTTCAAAAAATATTTCACATTTCTGAAATGTTTCTAAAAATTTAGGAAAGGTTATCAAAAGTCTAGGATGGGCTTCTAAAATATTTTTGTAATTCTTTATAAAAAGGTTTTTCCAAAAAGCGTTAGTAGTCAAAACAAATTTACACATAAATCATATTCAATTCGATAATTTGGTTGATTATTTTTTATTAACATGACACCTTTTGATGCAATCTGTGTGAGTAATAGAACGAAAGTTGTGGCAATGTAGCTCTCAAGATGTCCATAATTGATCAATTATATACTTTTCTTCTGTTGACTAAAAGTTTGGCGTTACAAAATTGGATCTCAGCTATAAATTAAACTCAAAATATTGAATTAATTTAACCACATTGTTATACCAAATTTAATGTTTGAGTAGAGAGATTGGGTGTCTAAAAGAGAGTAATTTTGTTGTTGTTTGTGATTTTGGAGCAGATCCCAAGTTAACAGGTCCGGAGTTGCAGGCACACCCGAATGTGTTAGAAGGATCGGGGATGGCGTATGAGTCCTTGAGAACGGGAAGCTTTTCGTGCGTGTCGACATGCCTGGTGTGAAATAGCGGTTTGTGGCTAGATCTCTACGTTTGTGTTTGTAACGAGTATGTATGAGCATAAAATAAAAAACACATAGAGTTTTTTCACGAGGTTCGGTTTTTCCTACATCCCCGGGACCTAGTCCAGAATCAATCCATTAGAAAAGGCCGCAACCTACAATTGCTATATGGCATACCACCACTCTTTTCTACAAGGACAAACTATGAAGATAGGTATCAAGCACGCATACTTGACAACCAACCAGCAGCACCGGTGCAACACGTCTTCTCAACTGCTGCAATCTTCATAGACAAACCACCATCAATATGGTGGGACGACGCCACACACACATGTGTGCATCTCATAAAGGAACCCTAGGCGCGTCACTCTTTTTGTCAACGCCTCTTGCCTTTTATACTACCACCACGAAACCCTAACGTTTCATGTCATGTGGGCTTTTAACTTCTATCATTATTGGGCTTTCTAATTCAATAAGAGCCCAATCTCACTTTTCTCCACGTGTTGAAACAGCTCTGCATGTGTTCCAGCCGCTCGTATTCTGTTTCTCCAGAAACCTCTCTTTCATGGTGTTCCGAAAGACAAGTTCATTGTCTCTGTCACGAATGGGAGGGTGAATGTGACTGGTCTAGCACCTCCTGTTAGCCATGACACGAGTGGTCGGTTCTACTCTGGTGACGTCGCTGAGCTCTCCACTCCCGTCGACATTCTCACCCGCCGCATCAAAACCATTGCCAAGAATGGTGTCATTCGGCTCCTTATCCCTCTTATTTGATGATCTAGCCATGTTATCTGGTGTTTCTGTTTCTTAATTCCGGAGTAGACCCTTGTGTTTAGGGAATGACTATGTTTATATCACATGTTCCAAACTTATTTTGGTTAGTATTTTATGAATTATGAGTCTTGGCTAAATTGTTATCATTTCCCAAGGTCTCTATTGAATTGCAAATGTAGGGAACCACAGGGTTTGTTGAAAGATTTGACTTATCTTACATACTCTTCATTAGCAGCCACATATGTTTCATCATTTACAAAATACTTGGGAGTATTTCCTGAAATGTTACAAGATCCCTGTTCAGAGCGAATCCATCATCGATTCTATCTTCTTGATGCAGTTAGTGAGTCTTGTGTGATAGAGCAAAAGTTGTGTCAATGCTCCATACCACACAAGAAGTTACCGAAGGAAATCATGCTCTTTCGCAATTCCTCAAAATGCATTTGAATGTTCCCACCTTCTGGTCCAGCTTCCTGGAATTAAAAGATAAAGAGTTTGATCAAGAAAGTTTACCCCGGTAAACAAGACTCGGTAGATAAAGTTAAGATTAGATATGCTAACTGAATCAGAAAGGCATTTTGGATACGAGCAAAGACACTGGTAACTACATCAGCCTGAGACAGCCAAGGATTCAACTCACCTTCAGTACATCAATTGTCATATCGTAATTGTTTATGAGAAACACAATTTGCTGCTTTGGCAGTGAGTCTGAAATCAGCTTTTCAGATTCGTCTTCTTCTCTATTCCCCCCCATTCATCAGAAAAGCCCATTGGGCCTTTAAAAGAGACTAATATTTCGGAAACGGAGCCCATTACTCTGTCTTTGTTTTTGTTTTGTTTTAAAGCAGGAGGCTTGCGACTCAAGTCAGTCACTCTTCCAAGAAAAAGTTAAGAGCTTTGCAACCTAATTTCTTTGGAAAAGATCCTTAATGATTATGCCTTTGTATTTTTTAGTTTAGTTCTTATTGAAATTTAAAACATATTTAGCTCGGTCTTTTGATCTCTTCTTATTTACATGTTAATTGTCCTCGTTTCAAGTGTATAAACAGACAATTTAAGACAAGATCAGAATCGCAACAGCACGTATAATTGCACTCGAAATCACTAGAACCACAATTCTTATTATATATGGTCAAGACCATAGATCATCAGAATCATCCTTAGATAAAAAAAAAATGATATAGCAGCAAGAAATGATTCCTTCAAGCACCTTCTCCAATCCAATCCTGGTTTTTGAAAACGCATTCGATGAATATGATTAACCTTTCTGACAATCAAATAGCTCTTTGAGAAACCCTGAGCCATATAGTTGAACCAATTTTTCTGTGTAACACTAAGCAATCAAGAAAACTCCACGATTCATACCTCCAAACAAATGGTAGAAAATCCATGTCTTTCTTGGGTTTGTATAATCAACAAAAAGAAGGGAGTGGAATCAGTCATATTAATGATTTTTTTTTATTATTATTAAAAAAAACACGACGAGAAAAAGAAGAAAAAAGCGAGACAATTATTTACTTGTCATCAAATTGAAAACAAGTAAAAAAATTGTAAACCGGATAACACAATGAAACCATCGTTGGAGTAGTTGAGTTGAAACCGGGAACAAACCCGAAAATCTGGAGAATTTTTTTCTTTTCTTATAATAAAGATAATAATGACAATTTAGGCTTAGTGTAATAATATAAATTAGTAAATTAAATCCAAGAGTCTCGTGGAATATTCATATATATATAGTTATCCTAATCCTAATCCTAATTAATCTCTGACGTAAGGAATCCTAATTCCATCGTTGAGTATATATATACATACACACTGCCTAATGAAAGAAGTTACGTTTCTTTATTTTTCCAAGAAAAGATTTTCCAAAATTTGGAAAACCCATAGCAAGAATCAAAGAAGATGACGCCGGAAGAGCAGAAGTTTGTTATCGGCATTCCATTGGTCTTAATCTTCTGCGGAATATGGTTTGTTACAGACCTATATCGTGAGCTACTTTTAATAAAGGACCATAGATCATCGTCGCAAGCCAGGAACTACATATGCAGCTGCAACCATAGTCCGGACTATCTCGAAGATCTCGAGAAAGCACTTAGTAAAACCAAGTGCAAGCATATTATAACCATCTATACCAATGTTAAGGATTAACCATAGACTCTTTGTTTCATAAGTTTGCTAGATATTTTCGTTTGAGACTTTGTTTACTGCCTTGAGAATATAGTCTTTTTGTTAGACTATTTTCCCCCTTTTTTCTTGTCTTTCGTCTTCGATATTTTTTCCTTTTAATTATGTCTTTTAATGAAAGTATCGAGTTATATGCGTGCATGCATGTCATAATATATAGTCCATCTTTATGTTGGTTCAAATCAGAATTTGAATTCTGAATTTCTGACATTAAACCACTAGTTTGTGTTTTCTCTCATTAATTCTCGAGGTATAGACAAGTAACAAAACATTAAGCGTGATGAATATATGATTCGATTGAGGTATCAAGTAGATCACTTGGTCTGCTTTGTTACTGTCCTTTCGACTGTTGAAACTCCATCAACGAACTGTGTCTGGAAAAGAATGTTGGCATTGTTGAACATTCCAGTTTTTTCAGCGAAACCACGATAAACTGTTCAAGAATCGAGCTTCCAATGTCAGCAAAATTGGATTTTGAAAGTCAACAACATCGAGGGTTGAGATTTGAGATTTCGACCTGCGAATGAGGGAAATGAGGTTTTATCATCCTTCCTATGTTCTCTGTGTGACTTAGATCAAGAGCTGCATCAACCTGAATAAATTAAAATCATTGAGTGTTACGCGAATCAGTTTTTATACTAGAGATACATTACCGAGAACTTTTGACAAATCAATTGGGAACGGAGAAATCTGGGAATGTAAAAGCAGAGGTGTATGTACAGTACCTCGTCTAATATATAAAGAGGAACCGGTTTGAAGAGAAGCAGCGCCAAGATTAGCGTTAGCGCAAGAAGAGATCTTTGTCTTCCGCTAAGTTCTGACCTCGATTGTATTTTTCTTGGAGATCAGAGCATTGTATTCATCTTCTGCTTTTTCAAAAATTGCCATAACCTTTTTGTTCACCCTTTTTTCCAAGCTTCATACGAGAAATGAATAATAACCGAGAAAAGAAGAAGAAAGCATGTTATATTGATATTGCACTCCAAAAGATAAATGTTAATCCTCAAACACATAATTACCTTGATTGATCTGACAGGAGCCTTTTCAAGTTTTTCTCTAGCTACAAAAGGATCACAGGATTCAAAATCATAATTTGTCCCTCTTTTTCCGAAAAGTTGCTTTTCAGATGCTATCCATGTATGCTTCTCAACAAGTTCGTCTACCTTCACGGAACAATCCTTGTGATTCTTCTCCATCTTTACTACCTATAAACAAAGTGGAAGAAAAAATCTCAAGAAAAGTACATTCTTTGACATGCGGAAATTTTAGAAAACTACGTTCTTGTGGAGCCTTCTTACCAACCGAAAAAAATAGTATCAAAATCACGTTACAAGAAAGACTTATATTTTTTATATCCAATTCCACTTCACTGAGCATCCCCAACTCAATTGAGACTACGCAATGACTGAACTTTCAATAGGAAAGACAAGTGAATACGACTGATGAAATTTGTATACAAAAGTGCAAGCATGGCTTGTAGCTTTGCAAAACCTAGACACCACAAAAAGTCATAGACACGAGAGAGATAGTACCTCATTTTCCAGTTTCTTTTTCCTCATGTCACTAAGCTTCTGCAGACATTTTTGCTTGGTCAGTGACATAACCACTTATCTGTGTATCAACTTGAGCTCTGCAAGAGACTCATCATGAATCTTCTGTAAGGTATCAACCTGCAGGGGAATCATATATCAACATGATATTCTTCATTTTCAACATAATTCACCATCTTATCCCGCTTGCTCGTCTACTTTCGAAGTCATTTGGGTTTTCAATGAAGCTAACTAGCTCTCCAAGGACGACTGTTCTTGCACCACTGTTTCTTCCTCCATCACAAGTTTTTCTTTTTCTTTTTCATGACTCTATGAGCATGAAGAACCATAGAGATTGTTACAGCGAATTTTGGAAGGGTCAAAACTCAAAAGAAGAAAAAATGGATTCAAGAAGTTCAATGGCATAGAAGTATTTGACTGAAAGATCTAGAATACCTTTAAATCTTTAGAAGCTGCCTGCATCTGAGCTTTGATGGTTTTAATATTTTTTTCCAAGTCCTTAAGTCTTCCCTCTCTGTTTTTGTCATGGTCTTTGATGAATTTCTCTAGTGTGGAGACAGCATCAACACACTTTTGTAAGCAAGTTCCTTCCCTTTGATTTGAGATCTCGCTTCTTCAAGCTCTACTTCAAGTTTTTTCACTGCTTCACCAAGCTATATATATACAAGACGGGATTGAAACTATAAATAGTGCCTCAAGTACCAAGAAAAGGCAAAACGAAACTGACAAATGTTGCTTGAAAGATATAGCTAGAGAGATGTAAACCTTGTGTCAGTTTCTTATGAAGATGCTGAAGTTGTTTAATCTGTGACAAGTTAAACAAGCAATTAGCGTTTAAAATACTGAAAAAAACTCTCTCACTTTGACATAAGAAGCCCAAAGAGAGCAATCAGAGAGCATTACTAAGCTACTGCCTGATACAGTTTCTTATTAATTTCGACAAACTCAAAAACCACATGAAATCTGCCTAAACAAGATACATCCAAACCACCTCACACATGCTCTTGCATTATTTCAGAAACACAATCGAACAAAAGTAAACGAAAACAGAATGCAATGTAGAACCAAAACTGATCTACGCAACTCGAAATTTCTTCTTGAGCCCAGAGACGAATTCAGTAACCTAGAGAGGATCAGGTAAGGACCTAGCCAACTTGTCGAATACTGGAAACCAAGTGTAGAATCCAATCAATGCAATATCTACATACCCAAATTCATCGCCACCAAATTATCTCAATAAATTCGCAATAAACACAGAACAAAGCTCAAAACTTGATGTCGACAAAGGAAAACTAACCTTTAGAGCGATTTTTCAGAATTCGAAAATCCCCAAATCATCGAACTCAATTTCAGAGTCCACCGGCGATGGGTCGGTGAAGCAACGGATCGAAACCTGTCATTTGCCTCAAGTACCAAGAAAGCTCAAAACTTGATGTCGACAAAGCAAAACCTTTAGAGCGATTTGTCTGAAGCTACCAATTGCAAAACCCAATTCGAAAATCCCCAAATCATCAAACTCAATTTCAGAGTCCACCGACGATGGATCGAAAC